AAAACAACACCCACCACCCCAAAACCAACACTGACCACCCCAAAACAACACTGACCACCCCAAAACAACACCCAGCACCCCAAAACTGACACCCACCACCCCAAAACAACACCCACCACTCCAAAACAACATCCACCACCCTAAAACCGACACTGACCACCCCAAAACCAACACCCAGCACCTCAAAACCAACACTGACCCCCCAAAACTACCAGGTGTCAGCCAGCCCTGAGCCCCAGCCCCCAGCCGAGCCCCCCAGCCCGCCCGCAGCGTTGGGGGTACCATGGGCAGCCCCTCTCCTGCAGCCATGTCCCCGGAGCCGATGTGTGTCAGGTGGACGAAGTTCATGGGCTCCCCGATCATGGAGCGGTCGATCCGTCTCCTCCTTTTCTTCTGCAAGGGGATGAAGGCCATCAGCCCCTGCTGGCCCCACGCCCCTCCCCGACACGGCTGCACAGCAGGTACTCACGGGCTGGGGCTTCTCCACCACGCAGCAGCCCAGCTTGTGCCAAAAGTCGCTCATGCTGGCGGTGCTGGCAGCCAGCGGCCCCCCGTGCTGGCACAGCTGCCGGGACCCCCGTGCGGGCTCACTCCATGGGGACACCTGGTCGGGGTGGCACAGCGTGGAGAGGAGCAGCTGGCTGTGAGGGGGAAGGGAGGGTGATGCTTCCAGGCCTGAGCTCCCCAAATTACCCGCCCAACAATTCCCATCAAGCAACAAAAGCCAGAGCAGACCCCTGGGGACCACCCAAGGGACACCTGTCATTGCAAGGAGATCCCTAGGGAGTCCCAGGGATCAGACCAGGGACTCTGGGCATCACACAGAGAGCACAGAATTGTCCCCATGGCCAGGGCTGGATGGGGCAGGACACAGCTGAAGGATGCTGCGGCAGGATGGGGGGGATGGAGGCAGCCGTGGCAAATCCCAACTCCCTGAGCCAGGCAGCTATAAATATCCCGGCCTTTCCGAAAAGGAGCCGGAGGCTGAGCTCTTCCGCTCCAGCTTTTGAAGAGCAGACGGGGGAGAAATAAACGGGGACTGCTGGGATTTTATCCCAAACGCCCACGGCACTCCCTGGGGAAGGCAAGGGTGTGTGGAAAAGGGGGTTCACCCCCAAAACGGGGGCTTCCCCTCATGCCAAGGAAAGACGAGTCCTTTGCTGCAAAAGCAGCCGGTGGCACGCAGGGAACTCACCGCCCACGAGGGGCCGTGGCCCGAGCACAGCCGTGTTCCAGCCTCGGGAGAGGCCCCCGCGGCACGGCCGGTGGGTGCCGGACCCACCACTCGGGCAAACAGGAAAAGTTCCTTCCTCTGTCCCTGCTCCGGCGACGCCGGATGGACCAAAGTCCGGCCCGCACTTCCTGCTCCTGGCAGGGAGGAGCGGGGCCAGGGCCAGCCCCCCAAAACGGGGGGCTCCGAGCCCAGCTTCAGCACGGCCCCGGGCACGGCCCCGGGCAGGATCTGGCCGCAGGGACCCCACGGAATGACCCCGCAGCCGGGCATTCCCGGGGCCCGTGGGGTGGGAGCCCAGGGTGCCGCTCCCCGCACTGCCAGCCTGGCACAACCAGAGGAG